TATATATTATATATACTATATTACCACAATTACATATATATATTTACATATATACACATAAGTTTATCTCTTCCGTCTTATATATACCCAAAATAAATTAATAGATGGTATGGTCAAAAATTGTCATCATTTTATTAAAAATTGTTGAAATATTTATAGATAGAGCAGGAATTACGAAATTACAGATCAAGGTCAAAATCATTACGTTAAAGATAATAAGAGGATTCGAATTGCGACAAGTGACCCCGTACTTAATTTGTCTGTCTTAAAGAAGATTCCCCACTATGCCGAAATTTTCCTAATGGTACTCTTTTGAGCATAATTCTTGTTGACTCGAAGTTAATCGTCCATACACTTGGCAGTTCTATATATATAGAATATATATGCTGGATATATTTCATAGTATATCTCACACAACTTGTCTTTTCATCAGTTATTGTATTGATCATTTAACTAAATAGAATCAAAGAAATGGCATTGTAGAAAAGTCCTCAGTAAATTTTCTATGCATCCACTCCATATAATAGAATGGAAAAATTAGCAACTCTCAGAATGATCTGTAGGAAGTTATAAGCGATGCATGGTCATTGTAGTTAACGTGCACCTGCAGGTTGTTTTCTTGGTCGCTTCTGAAACCAGACTTCTGGTGGGTCTAGTTGTTATTTCAAGCTCAGAAAACTTGAAATCTCAATATCTCATGAACCCATCTTTGTCGATATCAATGTCTATGGCATAATGAAGACACTTGATTATTATAGCGAACTTAATAAAAATCTGGCATCATATCGCATTGTTTAGGGCCATGTTATATAGCTATAAGTTGCTCAAAGTCAGGCTCTCCGAAGGCTCTTCAAAGTGCCATGGTACATCCACACGAATGACTTGCTAAGAGACGTTAGAATAGATTCGGTCAAAAAATACATAAGGGACAGATCTCGGAAGCTATATGCGAAAACCGACAGGCTGCTCTACTTAGCACTATCTAATCTCAGAGTAATCACTAATCGCACGGGGAGGTACGCAGATCTTAGATCAATCATTGAAAAATCACGAAGATTATGAAGACTACTCAAATTAGTCAGTGAGATGGGTGGGACTCGGCAGAAACCTCTCAGCCATCATAGAGCAAAAGTGCCCAGATGCACTAACTCGAAATGTTTTTAATTAATAAACCCTTGATTCTAATATATATGTTTAATAACAGATTTTTAGTACATGTTTGATATAAAGACCCCCTTAATACTGAATTTGTTATAACTTTAAAGTAGCTTCAAAAGTAGTGAACCAAAAAAATAAAAGAAGACAAGGGTTTGAGTAAAAGTTTTAAAGATATCATTAAAGGGTAGTTATATGTTAATCCTTTAAATTGAAAAGTGACTTAGAATATGAAAAAAAAAATTATCTGATCAAGTACTCATATTTGAACTAATTTTTTGTTTTTACAATGAAAGTTTACATTTTAAAATAAAATTTTATAATAAAAACTAAAAATATAACTGAAAATAAATGTTTCAAAATTTGACAGTGTGGCAAAAATTATCGCAAGTACTGGAGGTTAACTTTATTTTACAAAAACCCTACTTAAACAACGTCATTAAGGTAAATATATTAAATATTCTCGCAGATACACAATAAATGTCTTAAATATATAATATTATTTCAGATTCATAATGCCTGAAAATACAATGGTTGGTGGTGTTGCATTGTCTGGGGATGACAAGTCATCTGCAAGCTCAGGTGGTGATTTAGGTGGTAATTCAATTGCTAATGCAGTTGATAACTCTGGTCGTGTTAATGCAGGTGGCAGCGCTGAGCCAGTGGTTAAAAATTGTAATTGGAGGTCTACTCGCTGGGACTCAGGCACATCTAAACCAGAAGAACATTATTCATCCATTTCGCCTATGTTTTTGAATGCTTTAGAGTTGGAGAAAATGTTTGATGCTGAATTGGCGGCTTTTAATGCGGCTCTTCTTAATGCGTCTAATGATGCGGTTATTAATGTGCCTGATGATGCGGCTACTAATGCGTCTAATAATGCAACTATCGAGCTTAGAAGAAGAGGTGAGGCTAATAGAATTAAGCGACAACATCTTCATTTAATCCAGCAAAATTTTTCTGAGTTTTTATTCCGTCCAACTGGTCAGCTGCGTACGAAGAAAATGAAAAATCCTGCTAAAAAATTAAATGATATGGCGGTTAAATTGAGTGCAGATGATTGTGATCCTACCCAACCGATCGGTCGTAAGGTTATTATTGAGGTCATAAAGCTTAAAGAAGACGAAGAAAAAATTGTCGTTGTTGATTCTAAATCTTCAAATGTTCGTAAATCTTATTTGGAATCTGAGGAGAGTGATGCTGAATCGGACTAATGAATTTCTACACAACTTTCAATTCTTTTAAACGTGTTTAACAATAAGTAATAAATACATGCGTATATTAACAAAAATATTTTTTTAATTTAATTTATTAAATATTATAATTTTACTTTTACTAATAAATTTATAATCGCTTTAAGTTATTAATAGTGTTATTGGTATTGATTAAAGTCAAAGACCAGTTTGCTAATAGAATACAAAACTTCCACTTTTTAAGAGTCAAATATTTAATTTTATACTATAACCTTTTAACCGCTCTACAAGGTCTTTCTTTGTTGTGTTCCTTAATATGGACATATCAATAGAAGCGAATTAATGAGATGATCACAACAGCTCCGGAACACACATTAATATAAGTCTAACACAATACAAACTCCGATGTGTGAACTACTCAGGATTATGATTAAACTAAACTTTGTGGTGACGAATAAATTTTGGAGTAATCTCGTGGATTGTGAGATTATATAGAAGAAAATGAAAAAGTCTTCTTAGACGTACATTACGTGTACTTACTGGAGTACTATACCATTGCAACAATATTTTGCCGTTGACATATTCAAACAAGCGGACTATATAGGAGCTGTTATTATGAAAAGGAAATGAAATCTATGAGGTATTCATATTCACAAACGAATTGTCTACAGAACTGTCACACATATCTAAACAAAATGTAGATAACATTCAATGATATCTTCAAAGCAAATACTTTGAATTAACCAGTCAAGGTACGGTTACGGACTTATTAGAACCCTGACACACCGCTTGAACATGACATCCCCAACAATCAGTTTCTCTATGAAACACTTCACATAGATCAACAATTTTGACACATCTATTATAAAAAGTGAGTCTTGTATAATCTAGAAACTTCCTTTGATGTCATCAAATATATTTACGATAAAGTTTTTTAAGTACCTAACTTAAGCTAATCGAAAATAAATACATATGGCCTCTATTTATGAAGTCGTCGGTACAGGTCTGTGGCTGTAAGAACTTTACTAGTTTTTTCATATTTATGCCACTAAGTCCCCATATAATGAGCTCCTGTTTACTCAACAACTGTTAAAATATTAAGGTTTCAATGAACATTAAGGTTAATACATTCTAAACCTCAATGTAAGGTTATGGTGAATGGCTAATACTCCAGAAAACTTTATTTTTAGGACATAGGGTTATGTTATTGCTTTGGATGGCACAGACTTGAATATACCATAGTTTTAATAACATATTTTTGGGTAAATGTTATATGTTGTGTGTTATATATGGAACCTTAAGACTATGAAATTTCTAGTCGCGTCAAAAGAAGCGAACCAAAAAAATTTAAGCATGGAAATGTCTCAATGAATATTGACGTTACAAATGCACCTAGAGTTTACAAATGCAGGTGGAGTTTGTGCATCAGAGAGTGATTTTTGGCTTTTTTTATTTATAGTGAGAACGTCCAATACTTTATTCTTTTGGTGTCAAAATTCAAAAATTTCTTGAAATAATTTAAGCCGTCAATGCCATTCCAATATTTTGTGCTATTTTGTGGAATCCATTTTTTGGTCTCATGTTTTATGTTGTTTTAATTCATGGCGTTGGACCGATGAATGGCTTTTCCTCACCTTTTTTTGGTATAAAGGTTCGCCAAATTGTTGGTCTCATGCTTTATGTTGTTTTTATTGAAGCCAAAGGATGGCGTTGGACCGATGAATGGCTCTTCCTCACCTTGTTTTGGTATAAAGGTTCGGCTATTCGTTGGTCTCATGTTATATGTTGTGTTTATTGAAGCCAAAAGATGGCGTTGGAGCGATGAATGGGTCTTCCTCACCTCTTTTTGGTGTAAAGGTCGCCTATTTGTTGCATTCCTGTATTTCATGTACGGCCACCCAAATCAGAAAGGCCTGGTTGTTGATGGCTAGTTGATGGAATACATTGTTACACTCTATAAGGACTTTTGATCATGGAGAATACATGAAGAAAAACATTAAAACCATATTTACTGATAAGCCACTGTGTTTTCATTATTAGTCGTAAGAATTGAAAGGCAGCCCTCATATAATATCTACTATACATAGGAGTATAGGATTGAAACTTAATAATCAATTTGTGGAATTTCTAATGCATTGATCCCTTCGGTATTATTTCATATGAGATTTAAGTTTATAGCCAGAATTTTTATTCACAATTATATTTCCTTCCACATTTTGAGTGATGTTCGAAAATTATTAATTTTCCAAACGAGTGTTGCCATTCATAATGTTTAACTTATAAATTCGTAAACACGCATAATACTTATGTACGGACTAATGAATACATTCTCATAAACAGCTTTCAGCATGAATCATAAATTCCTTAAAAAATGTTAGAATCATTAATCAAATGTCAAACTTCCACAAAAGACCAATGAAGCAGCAGCCAACGACTCCCTATTCCGTGTTCGAAGGAATCCAAATAATGAGTAGAGCTGCCAAGCAGCGCCCCGTACAATTCATAGAATTTTTTGCGAAAATCATTTATAATCATCACAACGTCTGACTGTCATTGTGCTCAAATAATATGAACAAGCTAAAATAAATAATAAAAAATGCATAAAAAAATTTTCCTCCTTATTTTTTCCGCTAATAATAATTTGACAACTTTATTACTTTTGTAAGTCTTTCGGGCTGATCAGACAATAATTTGGGGATTCCACAATTAAAATTTCTGATAAAAAACTGTAACTTTTGACTTCATAAATACAAAATTGACAAAGCCACTCTCAAGCCGAAACCGCAGAAAAGTAATCCAGCGGTTGAATAAAAAATATTCTATGGAAAGTGTAGAATGTGAAGTCAAATTTGAATGACAAAAGAATTATTTTTTGGAATAGAAGTCCGCGCTCATAATTATGTCAGTGCCTTGCAGCGACTTATGTATCTGCCGGATTGCTTGCCTTTAGAGCCTCTTCGAAAATGCGCCATAAAACCCATAAAGTGTGACCACTTGACACGCATTTAATGCCTTTTTTACGATAACGGCTGCGGGTGCAAAGGGTGTATTGAGTCCGAGAGTAGACGAAATGTGGCGTAAAAATTAAACATATTCAAAATTTTTCTTTAAACTTGTGCGGTTGTGGTTGATAATTTTGGTGCAGTTGAGGGTTCTGATGTGAGAAGACTCGAGAAGACTGAGCATGAGTAACCGTTTATCTGTTTGAGGTCAAGGGAAAGTTATTGCAGTTATAATATATTGTTTAGTATAATAAATTGAAATGCCTAATGAATGGGTTGAGTTTTCAGAGAATAATAATTTCTATTGTTTATTGCTACCGCATTATACCACAAATTTTGATAGAGTTATTTGGGAAAAAAAATACGAGATACCGAGAAAGGAAGTGTGAAAAGGACTTAAAATTATTTATTATACAATTTTACAACAAAACATTTTTATTTAAATTAAATAATGTGGTCACTTAGAACAAATTCAGACACGACTTATTCTAAATTTTTCATGTAAAATTACATGTCATTCATCCATTCGTCCAATCCATTTACTTGCCGAACGGCCGTTTGGGAAATACTCGATGTTTCGCATGCTAAGTGGGGAATAAAATATCACTTGCGGATCAAAGCTGTCAAACACTTGATTGGGGGCAAAGAAAAGCCATCCTATCATCAATCTACAGACTAGCAACATGGTGAACTTCAATTTGAACCAAATATTAAGCGGCCACAGAGACTTTGTGGAATATCTTTACCGATTTTAGCTAGCACTTAGTTCCTACTGCCCAAACTGTCATCTGTCATCTGTCTGTTGCTGAAAGCGCCGAACATAGATTTTTTTCATTGTGACCGCTTCAAAAAGGCGCAGGAACTACTCATAGAGGTTGTAGGGCACCTACTATTTTACTGCAGCATTGTACATGAAATATGGTATGTTCAAGCAGTTTCAAGGGGAATGCAATTAAAACGTTTAGAGGAATCATCGTTTAGTGGACCTAAACTCTAGATAAAAGTCAAAGGAACACTTAACTTTAACACTTTAGTGAAAGAAGTAATTAGAAACTTTAGAATGGAGTTTCTTATATACAATGGACTCATCGTATTAGAAAACTTATGATATTTTAAAAATTGAAATAATTCTCTTAGACTATACTAAATTAGGAGTTATCCATTTGAAGGAATGAGAATACTAACAATTCACATACTAAATTCGCTATTAGAACTATAGAAGGATGTCGATTTGAAGAAAAGAAATTGGGAACTCCAGTTTTAAAACGAAATTCCTTGACATTTTGGTTTTTATTGTAACAACAGAAGGTAAATGGTATTACCGAAAACGAGTTAACACCTTTTTTTATTGCCTATTCCATTTATTGCCTATTTATTACCTAATCCATATCTATCCATATCTTGAATAATACTACATAATATACTATAACATAACAAATGCCCAAAAAAACCCATTACCGAGTATCAGCCTGTATATCTCTCAAGACGTCTGTGCTGCGTGTTTACCTCTAGTCTCATAAATCAACTCCAGATGCTGCTCTTTTAACTTGATCAGTCCACCGGAGTCGTGGTAGACCTTTACGACATCATCGTCCAACTACCGCTTCAAACACCTTTTTCACTTTGGCTTCTTTATCTATTCTCACAAAATAACTAAATAAATAAAATGATTAGTTAGGTTAATTTAACTAGTTGTGGTTAGAGCATATTTTTCTGAGTGTAGTAGCCGACATATATCTCGTTTCGTCCTCTTACACCACTAAGCCCATTTTTGCAAATCTATAAATTTTGCATAACATATGATTATTTTCTTTACCTGATAAGTAATGATGTGTAAAATATAATCCTTTATATTACTTAAACTACTATAATAATTTTTAACAGTGCTTACAATAATATTAGCAAAATTGAATGAAATATACAAATTTATAAATTTACAATGTAAAAATATATTTCTAAACAAGTTTAAGCTATTTGTAAAAAACTACTACACCATTGACCTACTCCCATAAGAAACCAGACCTCCAATAGCACTTTTTTCGCACACTTGTAGTTCGACACCTGTAAGCATCACTGAACCCAAGATCTCTGTCCAAAA